AAATAAAATCATAGTGCTATTGAGAGGAGAAGAATGACTCTGTGAACACCACCACCCCCTACCCTGCTACTTGCCTGGGTAAGGCTCATATACACCGTATCAGGTAATAAGATCTGGGATTGCATAAGACCTATGATTGATGACTCAAAAATTTGACTCAATTCAATTCTATTTTGCTCAAAAAAAGAGTCAATTCCCTTTCATTGTAGAAAGCACCACAAAATACAAGAGATCCAAGGACTTGAGCAAACCACTTATTTTTGTAGCCAACACACATAGAGGGTCATTGTTTTACACTAACTTGAGGGGAAAAACACAACCGTACTCTTCAAAACAGTGTTCAGACTCAATTTTAGAGATAGAAAGCCTTTAAAAACTACAGTCATATACTTTATAGATGAGAAAGCTACCATCCAAAAAGTTTCTTTTACTAAATGCATTTTTAACATTTATTGTGAGATACTACCTATTAGAGATTATACTGCATGTCTCCTCCAGCTGGCAGACTGGTACTTATCACATTCATTTTCTCAAGACATTCTTAATGAGAAAATGAATGAATGAATCACACATTAGTAACTAGAGGACCTGGCATTAGAACCCCCACTATGACTTCCCATTATGTACTCCTAGGTGCGACCAGAACATTCATGAAAGTAGCGAGGAAAACTCAAGCAGGTCTTAGATTAGCTCCCAAGTGGTCAGCTCCTAAGTAATCGATGTAAGCCCACATGGAGAAAATAAATGCAGCACTCTGGCACCAGCACATGAAGGATGTTCCATTTTTTTCATGGTGTTTTTGGGTCAGTCCCTTCCTGGCAATGATAATGACCTTACAAGGAATCTTCACCTCTAGTAGCCCCTTAAACTGCTCCTACTTTATTGCCTCTTTGTTTTAGAGTCAAGGTATACAGACCTTGGAACCAAAATTTTACCAATCTGTACAATGGAGTAATGAGTGAAGAAGTCTCTCATCTACTCTTGAGGTACAAGAAAGAAAGGCAAAATGTCATTACATAGAAGTATCCTGGCTATAGTACCCGAAGACTACTAAATGTCAAAATTCCATTTCTAACCAAATTTCCCTCCTGGATCTAGATACTACTGTATTCACCAATGATAAAATACCAATTTACATGTAGGTCTTTCAAACACTAATCAGCCTATTTCAACCCATACGCCTCATCTAAACTATAAAACACAAAAAATTATTCCGGTGACTTTCTTCTCAGTTCTCTCAAGAGGTTACCTAACTTGAACCCTGTATTCATAGGAGAGAAAGTGATCCATTACATACAGTGGATGCTGTAGGTCATTAGGGCTTGATTCTTTCAGGAAACACTGGCTGTGAAACACAGTAGAGTAATTTAATATATCTATAAGTCATGAACATGTCAAAATTGTTCTTACTATGCCTGCGTAGAAGTGCATGTACATACACACACACATATCCACACATTTTTACAAAGGCCTCTTTTTATGAGCTCTTAAAAATAAAAGTTGATTTATTACCTCCAATGTTTTGTCAGAGATAAACATTCATTTTTATTTTATGTAATGCAAAGGCATTCTTTTTCTCTATTTGAAAAACATAACAAGAAAGTCAGTAAATCTTTTGTAGATATGCAAATTGAAACTCAAACAAAAATAGATTGCTGGAATGTTTGTAAAGAACATCAAGTGGATTTTATAGGCAAGTTAGACTAAAATGCATCCCTCAGAAGTATCTGGGAATTATTTCCTTCTTTTAGTTAATCAACAAGTAGTTCTAGAGCATCACCCTCTTAAATGGCCTCGGAGGACATGGCATGGCAAAGAAAAAGCACTTTGTATATTTTGCCAACTGATGGCTAATGTCTTTTGCCTTTGCTTACATTGCCCATTGAAATCTCTTCTGTAAAACAGAAGCTGAGATTTGTTTCTTTTGGTCACAGTTTCCTTTTGGTCACCAGTTTTCGGTTAGAAAATCACTTTATAGTTGGTAAAATAAAGCAGAGTTTAAGAAGGAAATTACCCTTATAGATTGCCTGGCGAGAGCCTGGTATGGTGCCATGTATTTTACACATAATCTCATCTAAGGTAAGTGGTTTTATTCTTTCCCTTTTAAAGATTAAAAATATGAGACTCATATTTTTGGAGAACTGGGTTTCAAACAGATTTCTATGGCTCAAACATTCAGAATTGTTCTAGGATTCAGCATATCTTCCTCCAATTTACTAGAAAATAAATTAGGACATTTTAATTATTTTATACTTATATCCCCTATTCAGCAGACACAATTTTTGTCAAAACATGATCACCTTTCATGTACCCTAGATATAAGATTAAAAAAAAATTGGAAGCAGCAAGATGAAGAAATTAAAATGCCTAGTGATACTGTATACCTGACCTTCTTGTCATGACTGATTCAAATGTACTAGTATTCCCAAAGAACTGGTGTGCCATGTTTCCCAAGAAAAAAAGGTCAACACTCAGAAAACAGAAGCACCAGTGTTCTTAGAACCATTCGGTGAAGGAAACAGATACAGCGAATATAGTCTGATGATTTAATTACGTCCTTTTATTCTCAGATTATAGTGAGTACATGAGGTTGGCCCAGAATTACTTCCTGCCTTTCTTCATTTGAAAATGTCACTTTCACTGATGGTCTTTAATTAGGTTCTCAAAAATTATAAAACATGTCCTCAAGTCTCAGCTAGAACAAATGTCTGAGTTCACGGTTGTGCAGAGTTGAACTTGTAGAAAATCTGCTGTCCCCTGTTTTGGGTCTTCTCTTTGGACATGGAGCCTGCTGTTAGGAAAGGGAGAGCAGTAACGGAAGCATTTTCTTTGGTCCGAAAGCACCAAGCAGAGGTACTTTAAGAAAAGGGAAAAGTCATTCTGCTGAGCCTCATTCAACCAAGCATTAATATTTATTAACATACTCTGATGTAGAATGAATGTTTTATGATAAAAAATGAATAACAACAAAATGGGAATTTCAACCAACAAGTGACCTACTCTTCCACTGATGAAGAGCTCAGGATGGAGTTAGCCAGCCATTGTCTCTGTATGTGGATGGGGACTCTCATTCAGTAATGCAGACAAAGAAGTAATTGAATACCACTCCATGTGATTACTGGAAACACTACTCAAAATGTTCTGGGCTTTTATCAAAAAGAGCCAACTGAAATGAAGCAGTGAATTAATGTTACGTTAATGCTACATAAACAAATAGGACAAACATTAGAAAGAAACAAAAGAAATGCAGGATATTTCACAAGCTCAGAATTATGCATTTTAACTTCAGATTAGATAAAACCCCAAACGATTCAGAAAAGAAAGACCTGTGCTCACTTAGGTAGCACATATACTAAAATTCAGAAAAGAGAGGCCTCCCCCCCTCCATTTTGAACAAAAGCATATCTGTTTCAAGTTGTCCTATTCATTCATTTACTATTTATTGAGTAGATTGTGATTGCTAGACACATAGAAATGTGACGCTTCAAAATAAGCATCAAGGTATAAAAAAAAAAATGACGTGTGAGATCTTTACTATTGCAGACTCTCTTTGTTAAGTTAGTTTGTAATTCCTTTTAACAAACCACTCAATCTTACTGCCCTTTTCTCATAGTGAGTTATTACATATTGAATAACATTTCACCTTTATAAGTAAGGTACACACTACACAAAGGCACAGAAATGGTGACACCATGGTTTATATTTCTGCCTGTCCATTTCAATGATTCAATGCAGGGAAAACGTAATGGCACCATGTGACAGTGAACTGGTTGAGTCTTTCTTCTCATGGTCTTGAGAGAAGTTTCTATGTAAGTACTTTAGCAATAGATTTTCAGCAATATTGTTTTCATTGTGTGAGGCAATGTGGAAAGGGAGACTGAGCATAGATTTGGAATCAGACAGGCCTGGGTGTGAATTCTGGTTCTATGTGCAGTGAACTCTTGAAAAATCTACTTTACCTGTTTCTTCATCTACAAAATAAATACAACACCCTCTAACTTGTCAGATTTTTGCAAGGAATATAGATAATGTAAGTAAAGCAACAAACTCAATAGGTTTTGCTTTCCTTTAATATAAAAAATCTGAAAGGCCACACTAAGAACTGTTCTTTTTTAAGTAGTGTAATTCACTGTGAAATTAAAATAACGGCAACAACAAAAGTACAACAGTTATGCCAAGACCGGTTTGGCTCAGTGGATAGAGTGTCGGCCTGCAGACCGAAGGGTCCCGGATTCGATTCTGGTCAAGGGCATGTACATTGGTTGCGGGCACATCCCTGGTGGGGGGTGTACAAGAGGCACCTGGTCGATGTTTCTCTCTCATCGATGTTTCTAGCTCTCTATCCTTCTCTCTTTCTCTCTGTAAGAAATCAATAAAATATACTTTTTAAAAAATACAAGTTATCATTTTAAGACTGATTCATATTCATTTCATGAGACAGTTATTTTACGTTCAACGTTTATTTCCACTTAAATAAGGTGTTGAATAAGAACAGTGTCAATCTAAAATAATAGAATTTCAGATTATTGAATAGGCTTGACAGAAAAATTCACTTCCCCAACCCCCGGCTTTCACAATGTCCAGTATCATCATTGCTCTGCTGTGTCTTTTGGGGTATGCACATGATAGAGAAGAGAAAGCAAGAAACAAAAACAACTAAATTTAAAAATTATTTTTAGTTCCTCAACAAATAATAGATCAACCTCAAAATGAAACAATCCTTCATGTGCCAATTTCTGTGCACAACGAAAGCATAAACTCTAGTTCTGTGTGCATTCAGTAAATAAATAAATACATAATTCTTTCAGCATAAAATTGCTTCACACAGAACATTCACCACATATCTTGCTTCTATCCCAATGGTATTAGGAAGAGGAGTAGACTATGCTTTCCCTGTACCAAAGGATTGGTTTTTCTTCTCTCTCTCTCTGCCCTTTTCTCCTTTTAAAATGTGTCTCTCTTTTCTCTGACTTCTGCCTCTTCCCTTTGAAATCCTGCAGGTTGTCCGGCCATATCAGACTATGTCCAATCCCATGAGCAAGCTCACTGTTCTCAACAGCATGCATTCCCACTTCATTCTGGCTGACAACGGGACCACTGGGAAATACGGAGCAGAGGTGAAACTCAGGAGACAGCTGGAAAAGCATATTTCACTCCAGAAGATAAACACAAGTAAGTAACTGCTTTTCCCACCCTCAAGCCTCCTCAGAAGCGTGTTGGAAGTGAATGAATAACTAAGTACAGCTTGCAAAAATACTATTAAAACTGAGCAAGTCTCAAACATGGATCCTTATGATTTCTACGGGGCCAGTGGTTAGAATGAGAGGAAGTTGTCTAGAGGAGGGCAGTCTGAGGCCTAAGAAAGGATCACCCACTTGATTAGCGGACTCCATCTCATTTATCATGCATGGAAAGTTTAGCCCCTTCTGGGGTTTGTGGATGCAGATGAGCTTTTCTCTCCGAACTTTTCCTACATCTTTTACACAAAATGTTCTTAAGGAGGAAAGGCACCTCAGAGAAATTGTTTCTATTTATTATACTATTTTTGATAGCTAGAAAAAAAAATTGACTTTGATCTTAGCACAGATATGGCTGTGCAAAGGAATTTCAAGGGAACTGACATTCTCTAAACTAACACATCATGTGTAACCATCTTAATGAAACTTAAATTCTGTCTCATATGTATTCATTCATGGTTCTTGATACGTATATATTTAGATATATGTATACCACATGATATGTATCCGATGGTTACACTAAAGTTCTCTCTTCTGTATTTACATGTTCTATGCTTTAGCGTGCACACATTTGTTTTAAATGTGAAGGATAGCATTGTAACAACAGCACGGCTCACCCGCACACAAAGTGACTGGCATTTCAATGTGATAGAGGAATGAAAATAATCTGTCTCTTCTCACAAAATAAAATTCAAATTGTTTTATCAAAGTAGCATGAGGCTTCTCTGCAAGCTCAGACTTTGTGGTCATCTATTGTATGTCCCATCAGGAAAATGTGGATTGAATTGATTGAACTTTTCAAAGCTTGCAACTCCAAATAAGAAAAAAGTTCTCTCTGGTTGGATAAGTTCTCAAAAGTTCAGTATAATGTGATTCAACTTGTCCAAATGGCTTTTCTCTTCTCTAGCCTTTTCTCTGCAAAAGTGGGATCTCCTTGCTATAACCACCTTTCCCCCAGGACTGGGATGTTCAACCTAGGAGACCACAACTACTTCTTCTTATTCTCTCCTTTCTGGTTTTACTTTTGAGGAACTGCTGCTATTTAGGCAGTCAGCTTTCATACCTTCATCTTTTTCATAGGCAAGTATAGAACAATAAATTTTGGTGTAGCCATCAAAATTGTATTAGTAAACTCTCTTCTATCCAAGAATCCTCAACTGTCTTTGGAAAGGGAAAACATGGTATTATCCTGAAGGAAATGTCTTTTGAAAAAAAAATACTAGAAAATGCAATAAAGCACTATAAGCAAGGGGTTTTAGGTTTTGTTATCCTAAAATTGAATGTAATTATAATATTCAATAGAATGGGTAAATGTTGTGTAAACTAGTGTCCTCTGTTTAAGTTTTTTATAGGCTGTAGCCTTACTTTGTTTTTATGCCCTCAGATTAAGGATGAGAGCCTACCTGGGAGTGACCTGAAAGCTGAAGAGGGGGGGAGTAGGGTGGACAAGGAGCAAACTCACTCAAGTTTGGCTCAGTAATGAGACAGAATCTGTCCAGACGAGCCAATCGTGTCATTATGTCAACCCCCAATGGCAGCTGAGATGTTCAGTCAGCAGTGTTAGGAGGAGAGGTAGGAGTGATTGTATAAATTATGCAAGCAGCTAAGGGATGCCTGCCCCGAATTAAAACCTATCCAGGTGCCTCACAGGCTGCCCCAAAAAAGGATGTTCTATCCTAATTAGCCAGCCCCTAATTTAGTCTCCTGAAAATTAGACGCTATGCTGTCATTCACTATACCACTGTACCACAAAAATACTGTCCCCCACCCATCACACTCAGAGTTTCCAAATATATACTCAGCATTTCTTCATTAAGTGTCCTCCTCACAGCTTATGGGTGACCTGCATGCCACAGTAACCTTTCAACAAGTCTATTTTCTTTTTCTTTTTTTAAAATATATTTTATTAATATTTCACAGAGAGGAGGAAGGGAGAGAGATAGAGAGCCAGAAATATCGATGAGAGAGAAACATCGACCAGCTGCCTCTTGCACACCCCCTACTAGGGATGTGCCCGCAACCAATGTACATGCCTTTGACCGGAATCGAACCTGAGACCCTTCAGTCCATAGACCGACTCTCTACCACTGAGCCAAACCGGCTTCGGCAACAAGTCTATTTTCTTACATAATGATAGAATCTTCTGAAGAGTATTTTCCTTAAATATTAAGTGAATCCTGCTCAGGAGTCCTTTAACCCCTTTTTGGTTAACCTGCCAGTTGTATGTAATAGCATGTTACAAACACAGTGTCTGCCATATGTATACTACGCTGGCCTCTATGATCTCATCTCTCCCTCCCTTCACTCCTTGCTGTTGCCAACAGTCTGTCCTGAGTATCATCATTGGTCATTGAAGGGCTTTGTTTTTAAAGGAGAATCCTTTCAAATGTGAATGGTTGTCTGCTTTGGAACATTCTTCTATTTGCAATTTTCTAAACATCACATTTAACATGCAAAGCCTCAAACCATTCCAATCCTGCTTTTAGTAAACAAGTATTTCTTGATTTCTTATTATGTACCAGTTATGGTTAAGGTCTATAATAGCAGGAGTAGACATCTCATTGAACTTAAGTCAAGAGGGGAAAAAGTAATAAGTAAATGAGTAAACAGGTAAATATATGATGCTTGGTAATAAAAAGCACTAATAAGAAAAAATAAAGCAGAAAGTTATGTGCATTTTTATATGTATGCATGTGTGCCTGTATGCATGTGTGTTGGGGGGATAGTGTAGATTAGGTGGTCAGGAATGGCCTCTATGAGGAGGTGATGTGTAAGTAGAGACCTGAAATTAGGGAGCCAGTCGTGGAAAGAGCATTCTGGGGAGAATGAAAGCAGGGACAAAGGCCCCAGGTGTTCAGTGAAGAACAAGAAGACCTGTGTAAGGAGTTGGATTTTATTCTAACAGAACTTAGATCTGATAAGTTACAGGAGCTCCCTTATGCTGAAACCGGTTTGGCTTAGTGGATAGAGTGTCGGCCTGTGAACTGAAGGGTCCCAGGTTCGATTCTGGTCAAAGGCCATATACATTGGTTGCGGGCACATCCTCGGTGGGAAGTGTGCAGGAGGCAGCTTATCAATGTTTCTCTCACATCAATGTTTCTAACTCTCTATCCCTCTCCCTTCCTCTCTTTAAAAAATCAATAGAATATATTTTTTAAAATAATAATAATAAAATAAAAATAAAAGACCAGACTGAGGTACAGAGAGTTATCAAGAGACCTGATTAAGTGAGTTATCAAAAGTGACCCAAACCTTTAGTTAGTATTGCCAAACATCACATATACTAAGCTTGAACTAAAATAAGCAAAGGTCCATAATAAACAATACCTCCTACTTATTTTATTGATATTCACATATTCATACAAGCTGAACCAACTTAGCACATTTCCATCCACCAATGTGTATATGTAAATACACACACACACACACACACACACACTAGAGGCCCACTGCACAAATTCGTGCACTAGTGGGGTCCCTCAGCCTGGCCTGCGGGATCAGCCAAAAGCAACTCTCCAATATCCCCCAACCGGTCCCAAATTGTGAGAGGGCACAGGCCAGGCCAAGAGACCCCACCAGTGCGTGATCAGTGTCAGGGAGGGTCACAGGAGGTTGGCCAACTGGGGAGGGATTGCAGGAGGACTCTAAGATTTGACCCGCCTATCTTACTCAGTCCCTATCAGCTGAATCCCAGAAGCAAGCTAACCTACTGCTCAGAGCATCTGCCTCCAGTTGGTCAATGCATGTCATAGTGACTGGTTGACCAGTCAACTGACTGCCCCCTGGTGGTCAATGCACATTATAGTGAGCCATTGAGCCACCTTAGCAAATCATTAGCATATTATGCTTTGATTGGTTGAACAAACAACCAGATGACTGGACACTTAGCATATTAGGCTTTTATTATATAGGATATATATTATACACACACACACACACACACACACACACACACACACATATGCATTCTCCTCAAAATAATTTTGAAGGAAATTCAGACATTCATAAATTTTTCATTATATTTCATTATCATAAATATTTCACCCATAAATATTCAAGTACCAAAACATTTTTTAACTTGTATTGGCAAAAGGTAGATTTTAGAAGTATTTCATTAACTCAGTGACAACATAATGGCGAACATTATCCAAGAACTCTTTAACAATTCTTTCAAAAAATTAAAATATTATTTCATTCTAAAATGTAACCAGAAAATGTGACAATAATCTTTTCAAGTCCTAGTTCTATTCTTAGCAGGCCAAAATTCTTAAAAAGGAAGATTAGAAAATCCCCAGAAATTGGCTTTCTTTCAAGAGTTATACAGAGGGGAGAATATAACATTTGGGAAAAGAGGAGACCTTTGTTTATCACCAGTGACAATAAGCTGACAGTGGCAGGGAAACCTGGAAGTTCAGATCATCACGGCTGTGACCTTAGACAAATTACCGTATTGCTCTTAGATTTTGTTCTGCAACTGTGCACCAGGGACAGCATTCCTTCACAGTGTTGTAATTAAATGAGTCAGCTAATGAAGGATCTGTCATGTGGCACTTAAGAAAGATTGGGTACCTTCCTGATTTCAAGGCACTGTGGTCCCCCGGAAGCTATGTCCCATGTTTATATGGCCTGACTGTCATAAGTGTCAACCGGCAGTTGGACATCCCCTGAGGGGTCCCAGATTGGGGAGGGTGCAGGCTGGGCTGAAGGATTAGCGCCCCATCCCCAATGCAAGAATTTCATGCACTGGACCTCTAATAGTAAAATAAAATACAAAGTTCATCTCTGTGAGCTGACACAACTAATTTAAAGCATTTCATTTCAGCGAAATCTCCATAATTAGAAAGAAGTATTCATGACTGCATCATTTATACCCTAGCTCCCTTACCACCATTTTTTTTTTTTTTTTTTTTGGTGATAATTCTTAAACATGGCTAT